TTAAATTCAATGTTCATGAATAGCAGTTTCTTCGGCACCATCTGGGTTCTCTCGGGTTTTTGCCTTACTTTCATGTTTCTCTCGATGAATCTTGAAGGATATCTATTTTCCATGAGAACTCGTCTGAGTCTCTCCAGTTCACCATCGATTGTATCACTGGTACATATCCTTCTTATTCTTGAGGATAAAGAGTGGATCAGATTTCTCTTTCTTCTCAAATGCACCCAACAATGCAGATTCATGTATTGAACATTCCATGTTGGTTTCCTGTAGATTGATCTGTGAAGAGAACCATCAGATCTCCTTTTTTTTTTAGCAAAACAACCATTAAATGCAATTCCGAGTTCATCTCTGATTCCGACATGAACTGGATAGCATGATGGCATTTGTTGGACTTTTTAGTTATCATTTCGATGTTGGCATTCTCGTAACATATGATGAAAGTATCATGCATGTATCTTTGGTACATATGAGAGCTATCGATAGTGCGTCGTCACATCTTATTTTCTAGATTTGCCAAAAAGCAGTCTGCATGTAAAGGACCCAAATATAAATAAAGACTGTACAGCCTCTTAAGATGATTTCGTCGATAAAGAAAATTTTCTTCGTTGAATTGTTATTTATTTTCTTCAATGCAGTATCTAAAATTACATGTGTTACGAATTCACTGCAGTAAAGTTCTTACTGCTTATTGACATCTCCCGTAATCCAAGTTTGTTTAGGTGTATGTAAGTGTCTTCGTAAAATTCTAGTGAACAAAACAGCAATGTTAGGGAAGGGAGGAGAAGTTACAAATTGAGTAAGCGATTCATCACAGTCTTGCAGCGACTAACGAAGTGATTCTAAGCTGATTCTTATAAGTTTCTTCAGGAGTTGAATACGCACAGAAGTGATAAAGAAATTGTGATTTTGCCTATTAAACTACATAATACACTTGTGTTAAGCTTACAACAGTTAAAGCTGCTTTCATGGAAATAAATTTAGGAAGTGAAAGATACTTACTTACTGGGCATTTAAGCTAATAATATTCTCACAAACGGTGTTTTCACCAATCTTCTTTTCGAAACTTACAGTTAAATATTTGTGAATATTATCATACAATAGTTGAATTCATTCAAAGTAAAATGATTACAACTCACCTCCTGTTGTAGATTAACAAACATCTACTTTAGTTGATGTAGTTTTACAGACCATTTATTTGTTCCTTGTGTATCTAGATAAAAATCAGCACTAATTACCTACTATTCCATCTCCATTTAGAATCTGTTCTGTTCCATCTACCATAATTCTCTTTCTACCATCATTCTGTTTACACGTTTTTACTGCTTATTGTAAGATAATACCAATAAATTTATATCAATCTGAATAGAAAGGAAATATTTCTTGTTTTGGATCAAGTAAGATTGGCATCTGTCATTTATTCATACTTGTGACTTCTTGTATATTTTACCAAACGTCGTCGTTGACCAATATTCGTGGCTATATAGACCCTCAGAGCAAACACTGCTTTGATGCTTTTAGTGTCGCTCTGAAGTTGTTCGCTAGGCGTTAGTTAGCAGCATAGTGCTAAACGCGTGTCTCATCTTATATGAAGCTCATCTGTCATCCATTGTAATTCAGTAGCTTAGTGGATAATGCTTTTGTGTTGGACACAGTGATCTCTATTATCAAGTATCATATAGAAAAAATGCTCATCTCGCATTCTACTGCTAGCCACTGTCTAGCAATTAATACCAAGCTTTACATATGTCATTTTTAACAGATGCTTTGGCTATTTAAACATCACCTGTGTGACATTTACCAGCGTGGATGTGATATCTGGCTGTCAATCAAAAGACGTGTGTACTGCTCGGCAGTCCGCCCTTTCCTCCTTTATGACTGAGGCGTGGCCACTGAAAGTAGAAGATATGAAAAGGCTAGCTATTTTTAACTACAGATGTTGCCCTCGTATCTTTCATGTTAAATGGTGCAGTATGATGAGAAATATTGAAGTTAAGCGTAGAATATTTAGGTGAGGAAAGGAAGTCAATCGATGATGCTGTGAAGCTACATCGATTAAGATAGCTAGGATATGTGTTGCTCAGGCTAGGACATCATCTTCCTCGTCCACAAATATTAGCTTGTATAAGATTATTCCATAATGGATAAGATTTTATTTTGATAAATCACACAGTGTAGTACAGTTATATTAACTGATGACGTTTCGAGCACAAACTATTGCTCATGATCATATCAAGTTGTATAAGATTAGTTTGGAAAAGAGTTAAAGGTAGTCAAAAGCTGGGATCAGTCCATGAAGTCTTTGATTGTTGGTTTGTGCGACTTAGCGAGGTGTACACTGCCTGGTTGGGGTTTTCGGGATACTAATAATTGTTGGTGATATGGTTCAAAATCGTTGTCAGTAGGCATAAATTCTTTCACTCTTTATAGTCTGCGAATAGCCATTAAACTGTAATGTGTTTCCATGTTACTAGTGTTTTCTGCCTTACACTTCTGCTCATTACAGTTCTTTTGAATCTTTTCTCTCTCTTTTTTTCTATCTTTGTGTGCTACATGAAGTGTGGCAAGTTGAACTGTTGCACTTCTGTGCTAATTTCTATGTTGAAGATCAGTCAGTTGTTAACATTAAGAGTATGCTAGATTTGAGATCATGGTGTTCAAGTTTGTAGTATTGTCTGGAACTGACCAGGTTTGTTTGTTTTGGGCATTTTGCGACAGGTATTAGACAACTTCAGAAGCTTAAGGTTAGTAATTAGACAGGTGGTTAGACGTGGAAAGAAATTCGACTAGTTATGTTTTCAGTTGAAATTTATTTCTACAACTTTGTGTAATAAACGGGGAGTATATCTCTGTCGCGACATTCGCTTATTAGCCGTCCGGTGGTCTATCAAAATTCATTATTCATGTTTGGTAATTATAAGCCATCTCATATCACCCGACTATGTACGTGGTTGAAGTAGGAATGTATTATTAGCAGTTCACATTTCAACATCAGAGGAGAGTAATAAATGCACAATATATTGAAATAGTTTACCTTGATCTATGTAGAAGACAGTTATGTGTTTTACGACTGTAAATTAATTTTCAAGTATTGGTTTGGTAGGGATTTTGTTTAATTGTATGGAGGATTTCATCATGAGGGTTCGAATCCCGGTGGGCGCGTACTGATGAAGAGTCCCAAACTAGTACGAAACAGCTGTCCAGTACTCCCAGGTTTTCCAGTGGTTCTCTAACTGATGTCAGCTCATGATGAAATCCTCCATACAATGTAAATTAATTGTCAAAGTTACTTTACAGGTATTTTGGAAACCTGTCTTCAGAAGTTAGATCTATTCGTCGAACATATGGATGATAAAGACGAAATATACTAATAATGGGCATGTGCGTTCTCTAAGAGAAAGTTCCGAAAATTCAAAGGCATAAACATATTTTAGTGTCCCATTTTTACAATGAATTATATAAGATTGACTGCGGCGGTGAAATCTAGTGAGCAAAGCAATTGGCGTCACGTTGAGTATTGATAACTGTTTTAAAAATGCTGTTTTACCCTGAATATTAGCTGTCGTGCACATGATTTTACCTAGGAGTTTCGTGTTTTTGTGCCCATAAAAAGCAAATTAACTTTGAGGTAAAAGGTGAGATACCTCAAGAATATTACTCCACTTTTTGTTGCTGTTCATGTCCTCCTATAAGGTAAACCATCTTAACTAAGAGGCATATATCGAGTATAGACTTTGACTTTAAGGTTGGTTTATAAAGAAAAATAGGAATTTTAAAAGTCTTACTGGAATAAAAAGTCCATTACTGTAAGTATGCTAGCTGGTAAGTAGATAAATGTCATTCAGAATTTGTAAGTTTTTTTCGGTAGATTGTGTTCAGCACATAAACCAACTCTTGAACATGTACAATGGTTGAGATTCGCAGCTTTGTTAGTCAAACGAAGATGTAACACGGTATTCACTACATTGCCTCAACATCTGTAAGTTCATCCCATCCCACTGAATGATCACTGGTAATCGTACTGAAACTGCCTTGGTTTCCTTACTCTCAAAATTAATACAACCACCCGTAGAATACACTGAATAAGAACTCCTACTCTTCTCATCCTGTTACCCCATTCGACTTCCATGCTGTACCAAGTCTGTGTTTAAAGAATAGGTTACTCAAATGGTGTTGTTTTGTAGCGGAAATCCACAGGCTTTGGTCCATATTTGGTTACAACCTATATTTTAATTATAAATTGAGTTATTCTTATTACAAATGCAATTAATTATTACTAGTGTAACAATGGAAATCTTGGTCTATGCTTTTTTAGCTCTATGTTCTTTTTGTCTTCAAGGCTACTCGATTTCTTTTAGGTTTATATTGTTCATAATCCACTAATTGCAATCATGTTTTACGTTGGTTTGAAGTGGTTAAGCAATTCACTTTATCGATTAATCTTTTTGAGAATTAGTGTATATAACTCAGTAGCTATATTTAAGCTTATATATTTATTTACTTACCTGTCTAAAATTCATAGAATGATGCATTTAATTGTATAAGGTAAAGACAGCATGAATGACACAAAACACGTTTTGTTTACTCTTTTTAGAATCTATTTGATTATACTCCTTATTCAACCGATTTGACTCTGAAAGATAAAATTAATTGTGCTTGCTGAAAAGGAGGTTGGAGACTACAAGGAAATACTTGATTAATTTTTTACTTAGTTTTCGATGAATCCTTAAGTGACTGAAGTTACATTAACTTATAAGTGGATGTGAACTTGTGTTCAACACAGTGTCTATAAGTGTTTAGGTTTCCTGATGAGTATGATTAGTGGAATCTCTGCATACATCTCTCTGATAAATATGATGTCGAATTTAGCGGAGTATGTTTTGTTTGCACACAGTGATAAGTCGACTTTAATTCATTATTCAGCTGGTGTAGTTTTTGTTTGTTTGTAACGATTTTTTTTAAACTCTTATGATATTTTCATCCTATTTTATTGATTTCAGGGTCCACCGCTGCCTCCAGTTCGAAAGCCGTTAACGGTAAAGACAGCTCTTAAGGCATTTGGTCTGTTTTGCACACTGACAGGTGGTGGTCTTTTGGGTTATAAGTTATTTATCTCTATACCTTCATACAATGGACCAACAAGGGATATGCAAAATAAGACCGTACTCATAACTCAACCATGTGGTACGTTGTATATATATAAGACTGTCCGTCATAAATTTTAGTAGATTTCTTATTATTTTAACAATCATTAGTGAATATTTTCATTTTTGCTTGTTTTTACTCGATAATTTTGCATTCCTGTGTCTTAATGCATGAACTTTATTCTTCTGAAAAAAATATAGGTGTATATCTTGAAAGCAACGTACACAAAGAACTTAAACAAAATTAAGAAATATATTTTGCTATTATTGTTATTTTAGGTTCCAAATGGATCATGGGGCTTCAACAGCCCATCTCCAATTGTCTTGTTCTTTGCGATCCTCCTCAGCTGACCCCACGATTGCTCATAGGATCTCATCTCCTCCTCCTCCTAATATCCTCTCCATGTTAACCTCGAAGTGACGCTTTACTCATCGTTTCCCATTCATGTTCCAGTCGATTGCTGGCTTGGCACGCTATGTCATTTAACCTCCTCAACATGTGTCTGACCTATATCCATGTTCTACAGCATATTTGTTGAGCAATAGGTTCTTGGTTGATTCATTCTCGGAGTTTCTTCTTGCTAATTCTTTCTGGCCATTTGATATTCAGTATGAAGCTAGTGTAGGCACCTGTCCATAAAAGTCTGCACCTGACTGTTGGAAATGCTTTTCGTGACACAGTGCAAGTTTCTGACCCATACGGAATAACTAATTTAACATTGGTGTTGAAAATCCGAACCTTGTTCTTTATGTTGAGTGAATGCTGAAGATTTCCAAACTAATTTCACAGTGATGAAGGTCTGTCTTGTCTTCCTCATCTTGACTGGTTTTGACATCCTCATTCGCTCCGACTGCTTGTAGTTGGAGCGATGCTTCTTAGGTAAGTGGATGAGGTGACACCTTGAATTTCATCAGTTGATAGTAATTGGTGCTGATTGTTGTTAGTTGGCCTTTTTCATCACCTCCATCTTCTCTATGTTCACGTGAAGTCCTGTCGTTGCTGCTTTTTCTGCCATTTTGTCGCTTATTGCCCGGAAGTCTTCGAGTGTGTGTAACACTAGACTCAAATCATCCGCGAATTGCAGATCTTCTAGAGTCTTCTTATCGGTGGTCCAACGTATTCCTGTCTTCTCACACCCCACAGTCTTCCGCATGATCCAGTTCAACACAATTAAGAATATCATCGGTGATAGTAGGTAAACAGGCCTGTCTTACTCCTGTTTTCACTTCGAAGGCGGAGATTAAATGATGCATAGGTTGAATGAAGCTGTGGAAACCTTGACATGGTTTAGACCGAAACGTGGGTGTATTCGTCATATCATCATATCTTCATCCATCGACAGATTCTTAAGGATTGGCTTACTTACCGCTGCCCAGCACTTTTCATTTTTGTTTACGTGAAGGTGGCTTTGAAGTTGAGGAACTGAGAAATGCTGTTGCAGTGTGTAGTCGTGAAGAGAGTGCAGAGAATGTATGTCGTACTAACTAAGGCAGTCTACTTGAACTCATTTAGCCGATTAACTGCTTGTGAAGGCTTGTCATTTTAGATAATGACAACAAGAGGTGTCCGTTAGGGATGCCCAATATGATGAGATCGATTTCGTGATCTCAGAGTTGAGTTATCAGGGGCGATATTTCTTCATTTTTTAATTTGGACGTAGTACAGTTATTCTAGGAGAAGGCTCTGATAAAATGCCGACTATTCTGGATATCTTGAGGAGAAATCTTGGAATATTTGGCATGCGATTCGCTGCTGTCAAGAGTAAGATGATTCTGCAATACGGGTATGTACCTACTCTTAGTATAAAGATAGGCGGGAAATTAGTTGACCGTGGCGACTACTTCACTCATTTTGAATGTTGCATCCTCCTTAATGGACTGATTACTGACGAAATCTCGTCTTAGGTAAAGTAAACTGGTTTTGCGTCGATCAACTTGCGTCATCTTTTGTGCCGCTGTAATATTCAGCTATCCATAATAAGATATGTCTGCTCGGCAACAGTTCTGCTGTTTTTTTCTTACATCTGCGAGTCATGATCTTTGAGGGTAGCGTATAAAACACATCCGGAGTTTTAGACACTACGTCCTGAATACCAATTACTCATTGTGTATAGACGTTATAAGCTTCAGTATGGGATTTATGGTGTGGTTTTAAGAGATCACTTATTTTGTTCCATGAATGCCTGTCGTCAGTGTGCGATGCAGAAGCTGAGGGTAGTTGAGTTTTGCTATCAGCGGGGATACGTGGGACAAAGGAAAATATTGTTGAACTAGCCGGTCAGTGGCATAGCGGTTAGGATGCTCGCCGACCATGCACATGGTCCGGGGTTCGATTCCCGGCCGACGCACTCCGTTACCTCGCTAAACCAGAAATAATGCTGGTGAAGAGGAAAGGTTGGGCATGAGGCTAGCAACCCCATCCTGTAAAATAAACACTGCTACAGATACTTCAAGCCAGTCGCTTGAAGCCCTATGTTCCACTGGGGAACGTGAAGGAAAAAACAAACAACAACAAACAGAAGAAAATGAATGTTGTCGAGACTAAACTTGCTGTTAACATCTTGGTAGCTAACACCCTACTGTGTATATAGCATAAAGTTACAAATAGAAAGGACTGTTTACTACTGGTTACATACAAGTTGTTCGTAAATGATGGAGTCTGTTCCTCAATATCAGGATCATACTACAATCTTTTCAAGTGTACAATTTTTATTGCCAATTTTTACATTTCTTTTTCCCATGAGTAACGAGGCAGTTTTTGAATGTTATCCTAACTCTTTCCACCAGTAGTACCGTTTCATCCTCAGATAACAACTATAGTGCAAGCAACTTGCACTCTGATAGTAATTTTTTCAGTCTCACTTGTATTTAAGTGACCACTACAGAAACAACTGTTTCAACCAGTGTAGCATTTAGCATGATTGTGACAAGCAACCCCCCTATCCCCAAGTCGAGTTACAGACGTTGATCATAGGAAACAAATTACTAAATTTTGTTTGTGTAGTTTTCACTTTTCTCAGTGATCGGGTTAGAAGGTTATGACACCGAAACTTATTCAATATTTAGATCCGAGACATTGATTTTAACTGACGTTCTCTTCTTGGACAAAAACTGTTGTGGAACTTTAATGGTTTCCTGTGAACTGTCCGTCAGTATCTGTTCCGTTTAAGAATTTTATTATATTATTTTATGAAGGCATCATTCGATATCTTCATATGGACAGCACTGTTTGGTTCATTTCCTTATATTTTTTTAAGTATTTCGACCACCAGTGTAATCTGTGCGCTCAAACCTACTTGATTTTCGCTTGAGCTTATTTTGCTTCGGTTTTGGATGATTGAATGATGTGATAATTGTACTCATTTTATATCTATCGCTATTGCAGTTTTGTAGTGCGTATTCGTTGCTTTGCCTGTCTAAACAGTTACCATTCTTTTTATGACTTAGAAAAGTGATATTTATCATTTCGAGCAAAATGCAAATATTAGTCGGTCGCTTAATCGTCTGTAAATCAAAATATGAAAAAATGCTTAAATAAAGAATTATATATATATATATATATATATATATATATATATAAGTTGAATTGTCTTTTTCTAATCTACTTATTATTTACCTATATAATTTAAAATATATAGCGAAAATGTCACGAGAACTTCTACATGATTTAGCGAAGCGGGGTGCACATCTTATTCTAGCGCATAATCAAGCCGATCAATGCGAAGAAATGAGAGAACGCCTAATACGTAAATACAGTGTCAAATCAGATACAATTGAATGTCGACGTCTTGAAATTGACAGTTTGAGATCTGTTCGTCGGTTGGCAGCTAGTGTCCTGGCTGATTTCCAAAATTTGGATTGTGCGATTTTACAGTCTCCATCATGTGTTACAAGTATTATTGCTGGTAAAAGACGTTTCACACATGATGGATTTGAGTATGAATTAGGCGCTAATTATTTCGCGACCTATTTGTTAAGTCGACTTTTAATCGATAGACTGAATGCAAGTGATGGTCGTCTTATTTTTGTGATTGATACACAAGCTGCTGATGTTGCTCAAAAATCAGCTGAATGCACACCCAGTACATCTGAGGTTACCATTCCTCTGGAAAATTTAAATTGGGAAAATGATGAAGCCTATACACCGAAAAATAGTTTTCAACGGTCACAGTGGTTCTTGTCAATGTTTGCAGAGTGAGTTTATGACGGCCACACATATTTTGCTTGTTTAATTAAAGTTATATTTTAATTTCGCTAATCACTGCTTATTTTCTTCTTATTGATAAATTTTCCATCACTTCTGTCGTCTGAACCACATACTGTAGCTACAGACACTCAATACCAGCTGATTAGTTGTGACAACCGTGCATGTGATTTCGAAGTACTCAGCTCGCCCACGTACATAGTCAGAATTCAGGTGGTTTAAGCTGAATTAGCTCTCTGAACTCAGTCAAACCTGAAACACCTCTAACCAGCCGGCTACTAACAAAGTGAAACAGCCGTCCTTGGTTTACAACACATTTGTCTAGATGCCAGACACTACTCGTTGATGTGAATCCTAACCAACTATTGACACTCAAAAAAAAGTCGTATATAGCATCCTGATATTCTGCAACATCCAAATGCTCCTCCTCCTTCTGCACAGAGTCTGCGTTGTTTGTAGGTGCTTGGTATTGTATCATTGTAACCTTCCTTCCATCGTAGTTGAATCTCGCTAGCATGATCCTGGAGGAGATTTGTTCCCACTACATGGGAGCGTTCGGCGTTGTTGGCAACATCATGATGACCACATCCTCAATGTGCCCGCGGTTTCCGTGTCTGTGTGTGTGACAGAAGTAGGTTATAGACTCTCCAGTTAGAAATCTGTAGTTTCCACTTCTGTATCTTCTGATATCACAGATTCCTAACACTTCTACACCATATCTTCTCGTCTAGTTTGCAATCTGGACAGGGCCTCAACTGTGGTAAATTAGTTTTTAGGCATATCTTGTAGAAAAAGATGCTCTTTTAACATCTTTCGATGGATGGGTCTCCAAATCTTTGGTAAGGCTTTATATTGAGATGCCATATTAATCAAGTTAACTGCCTTTAATCACATAAATTCTGTCACTTTTGGCAATGAGAGGGTGCATCGTTTCTAGCTGCTTTTATACGTGAACTTTCAAGCTACCTTCTCCTATCCGTCCGCCTCTGCTTCTGCATTGTAATCACCACCTTAAATTATTACGCCTGAATGTTTGGTCGCCTGCATTGGACTAGACGTTTGCTAGTAGGACTGGTTAATGTTCTCGTCCAAAGCACAGTTAGGCAAAAAAAATACAAAACAACATGGACGTGTGTCACCATTGTTGGTGTTGACAGTCGCATTTAATCAGAAAGCATACACACAATTGCTGTATGGTATTCAGTACAGCAATTGACTTTTTGTCGTGCTGCGCAATTTACACATACTCTCGAGAATTTCTGGGAAGCGACTGTCAGGTATAAAACCACTGCTTCTTCTTCGCAATGTTAACTGAGTGGTTAAAGTCGTGCATGTTTATCCGACTACCGTTGTCATTGTAGCATTGTTTATGTGAAGTTAAATCAACGAATACACTAGATGGTTAGGTTAGGTAATTGGTCGAGGTCGAGGTATTAACGACCACTGCCTATGGTAGCCTAAACATGTATTTCACAGACTTACTCTCTCTCCGCCTCAAGGTGGTATTTCAGAAGTAGCACGATCAATTTGGAAGAATGGGGCATGTAATCTGACCAAGTTGTATCAGACTAAGAAGCTGTTTGTATGAGTCGTGTTTGGAAGTTCCGAAGTGCATGGTTGGACTGTGAGACCACAGGAACCTGTGGCCAGAGAATATAGACGAATTGGGTCAGGATTTGTAGCAGTGACACAAATGAATACACTCATTATTTTCTCGTCATCATTGTAGTATCTTGTTTCTTCATGTTTTACCTTTCAAAATTCTACGACCTTCAAAAATACTATTTGCCCTTCTTCATCTCTATTTATTATCTCCTAACTGATGTGTGACTGTGAGATGTGGTGAATTGGGACGCTACGATTAAATATAAGGTCCTCTGGACGTTACCTGGGTTCTTTAAGCTCGCTGTTCTTAATCTTCAGTTTAACTTTTACCCAAGGACCTTCCACAACATTTTAACAAACCAATTCCTCTGTGGTTACTGCAGAAAGGTTCATCTCCTAAATTATAAACTGGGACTGTAGACTGTCTAGACAGGCGTGATGGAATTCCCATAAAATAAGAAGTAACTCAATGATACTATCCTCAAAAGCTTCTGTTCTCCTTATGTAGTGTCATGGAGCCACTCCTTATTTCAGATATGAGACTGCCTTGGTAACTTTTGGGGTATTGAGGAAACAGACATTCATATCTAATATTCATCAGGTAAATGGTTATACGGATGCTACACATGCATCTTGAACACAAGATATCCAGACATGCTCCAGAACAACTTGTTATTCAGCTTTGTTATCTGGTTCAAATTATTCGAATGGTAATGTGATTTGAAAGACTATCGCTTACTTGAATCGTTACTAGCGGTTGCAGAATGAGAAGGATTTCAGCTAGACTTAGCGTCTTTTCCACTCCTGGCTAACTTTGCCATCACCTACTTCCTGGAGACAGTTTCTGATTTGTGTATGATGGATGTGTGTATCGTCTTGAATAGATAACTATGGTTGTTTGTGAATGTGTTGTGCTATTTGTCATTGTCTGTTTTCGTGTTGAAGATTGTCGCTTTCGCATTCGCTACCGTTTTTCTTCTTGTTTTAACCTGTTATTTTCACAACTGTGTAATTTTTTATTTTCTTTTTTATAATTTAGTGAGCTTGCACGTCGTAATTCAACCAAGGGTACAGCCTCAATTTTAGTCTCAAATCCTCGTATTTCTCGTAATGCACCTCCGGCAATGGATACGAATGCGGGACCTTTTCTGAGGGCTTTTTACAAGATAGGTGATTTTTGCGCTGGTCTGGTTGGTCGAAAAGCATCTAGTACAGTTACCTTCTGTGCAACAGCTAGTCCCTCTGTAATTGATCTGACGGGTGAGGGAAGTCAAAAGGATGGCTTAAATGTTGTCCGTGCTCCAGTTTATCAAGATTTAAGACTGTCGATACCTTCGAAGCAGAACGATGCAATGGTTGAGCAAAGACGTAATGCCTCTCAGATTTTATGGGATGTGTCAGAAAAATGGACTCGTTTAGATACTCACCCAACTGCTCTCCCACTTCCTAAGAAGATTGTTAAGGAAGTAACTAAAATACATACTGTTCAGTCTGCTTCAGCGGTGCATGTATAATTGGTATTTCAATGGGAAAAGCTTATATATTCCTATAAAACAAAAATTCGAGACGTATTTACTTAGATATTACGGTTAATCGTACTTAGAACCTGAAAAAAGTACCGATGTATATATTTTAATTACAAGAATTTTATATATATGTATATATTTATAAACTTAATGTTATCATGTTTAGATCGGTAGCAGGTTTTAGTTTTACTTCGGGAACGATTGCAGATACACAGATGAATGTAGGGGAAGACCTCCTACACGAAAATAACTCTTTGTCCCTCTCAGACGCAATAAGAAGACGGTAACCACAGAGATGTAAGCAGCAGGAGAAGGGTAGACTGCTGTCAAACATTTTTATATATTTCAGTTGGTCTGCATATACTCTCAGACTCTCACTGGCAACATGACTAAACTACCCTCAACTTTCTGCTGTGCAACTCAAATTGACGATAGGGGTTTATGGAATACCTTAAGTGACTCCTTGAAACCACGACTTCAATCACGTAATTGAATTTTCAATGAGTGTAGATCGTGTTAAATTGGTCTTATGGTCATGGTAGCTGAAAATATCAGATCTTCTGAGAAGTAGTGTTTAATTATTATGCAAACAGTTGGGTTTCAAACACACTGGTTCACCTGACCAAGCTAAGGAAGCTACATTCCTCAACTTGTGAGTGTCTTTGGGTTCAATAGTCAATCCTCCTTGGCACTGCAGATTCTCGCGCCGCAGTAAATTTAACGTTAGAAAACTTACCAACTGAATTTTATTGTATAATCAGTTAAGCGTTATTTGGGAAATCAGTCTGTTACAACTGAGAACGATCGTGGTACACTACGTTAGCGATTTGTATATTCAGCATATGCAGCAACTGATTTTGTTTTGAACGGTATCACTGACGGGTTCTAAGGGTACTGTATGGTCAAATCAGTACTGCCAAACATTCAAATGTGATTAGAATGCTCAAGGAATAAAGTACTTTTCACTTTAATTCTTGATATTTTTTATTTGTCCCTAGTGGAATACAAGACTTTGGCCACATAACTCCACTGAAGTCTTTTTCAGCTGACCCAACGACCACCCACAAACTTTCATTTCTCCTTTCACATCCTCTGTCTCACCCCGAGATGTCTAAACCGTTGCTTAGCATTCGGGTCCGATTCCAGCACCTGGAGTGTAATGCCACTTGAAGATCTCAGCGTATATGGAGCTAGTTGCATTGGGCGTACAATCCAGCAAGTTCCTCATCGGATTCCCGAACATCATCTTGCATAGTTAAGAGACGGACAAAGAAGATATATTTGTAGCTCTGTTTTAGCACATCTTGTAGATAATGAGAATAAAGTTGATTTTAATAGAGTACCTAAAGTTATTTATCGCATTCTGACCAATACTAAGTTTGCTTCACAAGTTCATCTTCTACATATACAACCAAGGCAATCGAACCCCGGTGGGGCGAAACAGCTGTCCAGTACTCCCAGGTTTTCCAATGGTTCTCCAACCGATGTCAGCTCATGATGAAATCCTCCGACAAATCAAAGAAACTCCATACAAACTAGTACTTGAAAATTGATCTGATGCTCTTTAGCAACAGGATCCTGGGGTTTTAGTAGGAAGCCGTGACCAGTAGGGTACAGCAGATCGAAGGTTAGAACAGTTACTCATTGAAGACATTACTAAGTGGTCGCACTATGCCGTAAATTGGCAGAATCTAGAATTGATGGGCCATTGGATCTAGTCTCAGTGGTCTATGAGCTTGCCTTGTTTGTAACTGGAAAGTCCTGAGTTGGGACCCCCTGTGGTGGGTGTACTGATGAAGAGTCCCAAACTAGGATGGAACAGCTTTCCAGTACATACTTATTTTTTAATTACCCTTATTTTAACAAAATGATGAATCGTGTATTATATATATTAAAGTACAGTGATATATGAGGATCTAATTCAAAAGTAAATACTTCTTCGCTCATTCCTTTCGACTTCTAGACTCATATTCATCATTTTAATAGATTGTCGGCTGAGTTGTTATCCTGAAAAATTCCTTCCTTAACTTTTTCGGTCTGTCATATGATTTCCTGTATTCAGTGAAGACAAGCGTTAATAAAAGTCTGCACTAGCTTGTTGGAGATGCTTTTGGTCCGGATTTTCAACTCCAATGTGAAGTCAGTGCTACTATACGGATCAGAGACTTGGCGCCGCGTCATAAAGAGCACCTCAAACAAACTACAGATCTTCATTAACAGTTGTCTTCGCTCAATACTCAAGATCAGATGGCCAGAAAAGACCAGTAATAGGGATCTCTGGGAGCAAACCAACCAGGAACCGATTGTGCAACAAATAGGTAGGAAGAAATGGAGATGGATTGGCCATACTCTTAGGAAACCATCAAGTGACATCACAAGACAAGCCATCGCTCGAGTGGAACCCGAAAGGGAAGCGGCGAGTTGGTCGTCAGTGCAAGGGTGACTTGGAGGAGGTCATGTGAAGAGGAGATGAAAACGTGTGGGCAGACATGGAGCCAGGTGAAGACTCTAGCAGAGAACCGAACGCAATGGAGACGCACGGCTGAAGCCCTATGTTTCTGTAGGAATTAAAGGACACAATAATAATAATAACTTGAGCGCAGTGTTTTTGCTTCAAGCAAACAAAATTAGAAAAGAATCCTTCTACAAATTAACTTGACTATTCACTGCGGATAAATATAATTATGTAACCAGAAATCTGTTTCGTCTACATCACATTACACTGGCATCCTCGACATAAGTTAAAGGCTTATTTCCGCCTAATTAATTAGCATAGATTTCGTATTTGTAAAGCCTAGTTGTTTTAATTAGAATATAACAAGATGAAGTGATTGTAAACCACATGATATAGTCACGTGTTCGCAGGACATTTTATTTATAAGGTATGTATGTATACAACAGCCTTGGAGATCTGAAAACTGCATTAGACAGATGGTAACCAGAGTGTTTTACTTACACGTGAGAACAGGCTAGTAATTATATGCTAAATTATATAAAATTTCGCGATTTATTCTTGCTAGATTTTAATGAATGAGCAAAAAGGTGTTCGATAAAACTGATACATATATTCATGGAAAATTCTTATCGGGACGTATAGAAAATCAAAAAAAGTGATTCAACGAAGAGACTCCTTTTAACGAATGTATTATCAAGCTGGATGATCGTATATTAATGGTTTTTAAGAAATTATATCCGATGAAGGAATAGAATCATGGGTGTGAATACACAAAATAATAAAAGTATGAGATGAAAATAAATGTTAGTGATTATTATTATTTCCTTTAATTCAGTGGCGCGTCTCCATTGCGTTCGGTTCTCTGCTAGAGTCTTCACCTGGCTCCATGTCTGCCCACACGTTTTCATCTCCTCTTCACATGACCTCCTCCAAGTCACCCTTGCACTGACGACCAACTCGCCGCTTCCCTTTCGGGTTCCACTCGAGCGATGGCTTGTCTTGTGATGTCACTTGATGGTTTCCTCAGAGTATGGCCAATCCATCTCCATTTCTTCCTGCCTATTTGTTGCACAATCGGTTCCTGGTTGGTTTGCTCCCAGAGATCCCTATTGCTGATCTTTTCTGGCCATCTGATCTTGAGTATTGAGCGAAGACAACTGTTAATGAAGGTCTGTAGTTTGTTTGAGGTGCTCTTTATGACGCGGCGCCAAGTCTCTGATCCGTATAGTAGCACTGACTTCACATTGGAGTTGAAAATCCGGATCTTATTTTTGATGCTGAGTGCTGTTGACCTCCACACAGACTTGAGAGTAATGAAAGCTTGTCTTGCTTTCCCGATCCTTGCTTTGATATCCTCATCAGTTCCGTCCACCTGTAGCTGAAACGATGCTTCCCAGGTAGGTAAAAGAGGTTGTTTCTTTCAGGTTCCTTCCATTTATGCTGATTGTTGTCTGTTGTTGCTGTTGGTGGTGTTGCCCAGGAATTTCCATCACCTCTGTTTTCTCAATGTTCACCTGAAGTCCTATCTTTGATGCTTCTTCTGCTAACTGCGCTCAAGTATTATTTTTAAAAAAGGGAAATGCAATAACTTTTAAGGATTTTTAAAAACCTAATTTTTGTCTCATATTCACATCTTTAACTTATTTGATGACTTGAAATATTCTTTTTAAATGTAGGCTTTGCTTTAGTTAACAACTAATTCATCAGATGATGGATAAATAACAACAATGTGAACTGAATTGAATTTTCAGCTGATTTTACATTAAAAAAGCAGCAGTTCAAATAACCATACTTCATAAAAGTATACACAGAGGTAGAGACAAAAAGAAATACAAAGGAATTGAAATAAAAGCGAAATTGCAAGAGAAACAATAATCATGCCAGAATTTAGTCGATCCGGAAGTTCATGCAGATTGAATGCAACTGTGTCGTCGTGAAAGATTTATTATTTATTGTTCCCTTGGGTTCCTAGTGGAACATAGGACTTCAACTACACGATCTCCACTTGCTTCTGTCTTCTACTGTACTTTTCACCTGCATCCATGTTAGTCCATACTGTTTCAATTCCTCTTCACACGATCTCCTCCATGTCACCCTTGGACGTCCCACTCGCCGCTTCCCTTTCGGGTTCCACTCGAGCACTGGCCTGACGCGCGATGTCACCTAGCGGCCTCCTCAGCGAGTGTCCGATCCATCTCCACTTTCTCCTACATATTTGTTGGGCGATTGGTTCCTGTTTTGTTTGTTCCCATAGCTTCTTGTTTGTGATTCTTTCCGGCCATCCGATCTTTAGTAAAGAACGAAGACAACTGTTGATAAAAGTTTGCAACCTGTTGGAAATATTCTTTGTGACCCGCCAAGTTTCTGATCCGTATAGCACAACTGACTTGACGTTTGTATTGAAAATCCGAATTTTGTTGTTGATACTGAGTGACGAAGATTTCCAGATTGGTTTCAGGTTGATGAATGTGTTTCTCGCCTTCCCGATTCTCGATTTGACATCCTCGTCCGTTCTACCTGTAGTTGAGATAAT